TTAGGGTGTAGGGACCTTAATAATTAGAGTAGGGTTTTGGGGCCCATTATACTGGAAGTATAATAAGGACCCCCCAAAATAGTATGGGCCAGTATGGGTAATTATTTAGGCCCCTGTATTCATGGTTTACGGGTGTTTAGGGTTTAGGGGCTTACGCTTTACAGGTGTTCAGGGTTTAGGGTTAAGGGGCTTATAGGTTTGCAAGGGTTTTAGGTTTGGGGTTTAGGGTTTAGAGCCGAGGGTTTAGGGTTTCGCTAGGTAGGCTAGTAGGCTAATAGGGCATATTTACTTTCTGTGTTGTTTGGTCTGAAATATGATCGTATTGGCTATGCTCTTTTTTCAGACGGTGTTAAGGGCATTCCTCAAGCTGCTGATTTTCTCTACGGTTGCGGGCTTCGGGTTCGGAGAATATACGGCTGTCGGTAGTCTGGTCGGAGTGCTCACAGCGCATAATGCTGTCGTACTTTAGGCAGTATAGCAAGGTTTGTCCTTGTTCGTGGAGTTACCGGTAGTAAGCCTGCATCTACCTATGCATCGTTGTGGGTTGCTGTTTGTTGCTGTGGTACTAGTAAGTACAATCTTCAGCATTGCTATTGTAGTCTTTCGTGGCACCGAATGCTTACTTCAGCATCATTGTAAAGATTGAATACCTCACCATTGTAGTCGCCATGTCGTTTCTTCTTGTGTTGTTGCTGCTACTACTGCTGTTCTGCTATGGAAAACTTTTGACATGCTCGGAGTGACTCCTGAGCCCTAAAGGAGACGATTACGACCTACACTGCTGCATGGACGGCCAGTCTGCGCTGGATTGGCTGGAGCTGCTCCCTGACTGCATGCGGAGGCGGCTCCGAGCCCTGAGTCTTAGACCCTGGAACCCTAGAGCATAAATAAGTACATATATATATATACATATATATATATATACATATATATATATATATATACATATGTATATATATATATATATGTATATATATTCAGATACTCTGGTAATACACAGATGCACATTTACACGCATACAGGCATGCACACATACGCACATACATGCGTGCATACATACATACATTTGTTGATAATACATATACTTTGATACATATACATGTCCACATACACTATACGTACATATACACATACATATACATATACATATACATATACATATGCATATGCATATACAGAAACATAGACACATACGAAAACATATAAACACACATACACATACATACATACATACACACATATATATATATATATACATATACACATGCAGAGTATATATATATATATATATACACACATACGGACCTGAGTATTTTTACATGGGTTTGGGTTTGTTGAGACTATAATATAAGAGGCTCAGATTACTAACTAACTACTCAGAACCCTTGCTTTATGTTGTTCAGAGCCTCTTTCCCTGGCAAGATGTGATGTCAGTGTAGCTTCGGTTTTGACCGGCTTTAGGGTTAACTTAGGGCTGAGGCTTTAGGGCTTAGGGTTTAGGGGAGTTGGCGGTGCATGTCTTGTTGGAGTTTGTCCTGCTACAAGGAACAAGAACAACCTACCAGACGTGATCCTCCTGGACATCCAGATGCCTGGAATGACGGGCTATGAGGTGCGCTTCCGCCAAACCCGAAGCAGTCAGCTTTCAACATCTGTCTTGTCAGGAAGATCGTTTCAGATTCGTGAACTCCGGCTTATGACGTCGTGTTGGTGACTCTTAATCGCTTCCCGGTCTTATTCAACCCCCCCCCCAAATATTCTGAATTTGGGCGAAGGGTTTGGAGGCTCCAAATAGCCTTCGAGAAGTGCAAGAGCAAAAGCAAGAGCAAGAGCAGGGGATAGAGCAAGAGCAGGAGCAAGAGCTAAAGCGTCACCATCAGCAAGAGCAAAGCAAAAGCAGGAGCAAACGCAGGAGCAACAGCAGGAGCAGGAGCAGGCGCAAGAGACGCAGAGCAGGAGCAAGACCACGACCCCTCGAAAGTGGTAGTAGAGATAAAAATACCCCCTAATAATAAAAACACTTTCCGAGCTTTTATTGGGGGGAGGGGAGCCCGCCCCCCACCCCCCCCTGTGCTAAAGTAACGTTGTGGTCTCTAGTCAATGCCTCTCTTCACCCCGAGCCTTCAATCCTGTCAGGTTTGCAGACGTGTCCTGGCGACCACATGGTCCGGGGATCGGGAGAGTGCACATGGCTACGACGTGGAGTTTAGATTTTGAGGCGACCTTAGACCCAACACCCCGAGCCCGCAACCTACGATCGTCTTGGGTGCCATCAGCCTCGCTGTTTTGACTCCGCTGACGATGGTGACGATGACGGCGACTATGATGGCAAGGCTGCTGATGATCATGTTCTTTCCGTAATGTGGCCATGATCACGAGATTCATGCTGGGACGGTGATGTCCACGAGAATCGTGGAAGTGAGAGTGGCAGCAGTAGTTGAGAGTGGGAATGTAGTTCTAGCAGCAGTGCGCTCGACGGCAAAACCCCAAGAGTAACAGCAACAATAGCATCAGCAGCTGTAGTTGCTGACCTGTTAACAGTACTTACCTCACTGCGAACTGATAGTGAACAGCATCGGCTTAACGTCAACAGAGACAGCAATCCAATGACTCTAAGTTATGTTCACAACGTGGATGTCCTAATCATCATGACGACGAGAGTTGTTGTGTCTTACTCGCTTTGATTGTAAATGTGCATGTGTCAGCAGTATCCCTCACAACTTGCTGTTCCAAGAGCTCTTTGTTGAAAACCAACGGCTATTATAACTACGAAGGGCATTCGTAGCATGCGCAAAAAGCAAGCGGATGTGATGCAGCTTAGGGATCCGGGAGAACTACAACGAGTCGCTCTGGGAGCCATTGTGCAGCAAGTGGGTAATCCTCGAGTCATGCCATTCAGCACATGTCAAGAACATTTTTACATATTACATATGTCATATGTATATATTTTTGTTTATATTTATGTATGTGTGCATATGTCTTGATAGCTATCTACATACTTACCTACATACCTACCTATTTATCTATCTGTCTATCTGGCTATCTATCTATTTACCTACCTATGTATCTATCCTTCTATCGGTCTATCTATCTGTCTATGTGTCTATCTACTTCTCTACCTATCTACCTATCAACCTATCGACCTATCCATCCATCCATCGAGCTATCTATCTACCTACCTATCTATCTATCTATCTATCTATCTATCTATCTGCGTATGGGTAGTTCTCTGAATTAGGGTCCCTTTTGAAGTTCCCGATATAGTACGGCACTTTTTGAAAAGGACCCCCAATAGGGATATAGTCTTAATATAATAAGGACCCGCCCCCCCCCTCCCCCTCCCACCCCAAAAAAATTGCAGGTAATCATTTAGGCTTCTATATTAGCTGCATTCGTGTCGTTTCTGATAAAACTCACCATTCCCAGGTATCCTAAACCCTTAACCCTGAACCGAAACCCCTGACGACCCTAAACCCTGAACCCGAAAGTAAGTATGTACTACATAAGCAAGTGAGGAACTTCAGGAGGGTTACCGGAGTCCTTGTCCTGAGCTCCAAAATCCCCCCAAACCCTCAAAGGGTTTAGGGTTTAGGGTTAGGGTTTGAGGTTTAGGGTTTTGGTTTAGGTTTCTTCAGTTCCTCCCCTGGAAGGCTAAAACCCTGAAGCTCTAGAACAGGATCCAAAAGAAGACAGCCCATCACTCCATATATAAATCTTATTAAGACCCCTATATATTACACCAAATGCATAAGCCGTATAAGATCTCTTTGGAGAAGTGGCCCACAAACACTCGGGAACGAAGGCTTCCGATTACGCTGCTGTCGGCCAAGGCATCGGCCGAAAGACTTGGCGGTTTCCGAAAAGAAGGGGTACCTTATCTGGGGGTCCTTATAATAGGGATCCTACTATTTAGGTGATTATTTTAGGGTCCCCTATTTTCGGAAATCCCCACTTGGAATTGCTAGCAACAACTTTCAAAGGTTTTATTTTGGGGTTTTATGGTTTAGTATCTAGGGTTTGGGGTTTGGGGTTTATTTTGGGGTTTTCTGGTTTAGGGTCTAGGGTTTGGGGTTTAGGGTTTAGGGCTTTCCCTGATTTTCTTAGCAGGGCATGTTTCCCCCAATATGTTTATATACGAGTCTATGCTCCTCCATTAGCCATTAGCTTTGGTACTCCTTGTGGATCCTTCAAGCCCCCGTGGACCGTCAGCGAAAAGCGTTGAAGAACTGCCAGTATCGAACCCCTAAACTCGTAAACCCGCAAATCCGTAGACCCGAAACCCTAAACCCGTAAATCCGTAGACCCTAAACCCGAAACCCGTAAGCATTGCGGGCTTTAGGGGTCCCGGTTGTAGGGCTTTAGGGTTGTAGGTTGCAGGGCTCTGGGATTGAAGCCGTTGTTTGCCTGTGGCTCGGTGGTTGGGGTTTAGGGCTTTTCAGGTTCAGGGGTTTAGGGCTAATATAGGGGCCTAAATAATTACCTATACTAGTTTGGGGGTTCCGTATTGTATTAATACTATAAAGGAGCCCGAAACCCCATTCTAATTATCAAGGCCCGTATGTTAAGGGTTTATAGGGTTTGAATTTCGGGTTTGGCTATAGTCTCCATTGTAGTTCCTTTCTGGGGATACCTTATAGAATCCTTTATATATTTGGTTAAACCTAAGAAGGAACGACAATGGAGACTATAGGTGGTGGCCGAAGAGAGTGGAGCAGCTCACTGGTTGTCTTTAGCTGCCAACGTGTCGACTCGCCTCACCAGGCGCCTGCCTCCGCAGTGGCCATGGAGGCCCGTGGTTTTCGGTACCTAAACCCTAAACCCTAAATCCTAAACCCTAAACCCTAAACCCTAAACCGTTTTCGGTTTTTTTGTCCGAGGGTGGGGGAGCTTGGCTTCGGTACTAAACCCATAAAGGCGTAAAGTACGGGTGGTAGCAGGCTCTACCCATAGGCCCCATAGTAGTTCCTTTTTGGGGTTACCTTGTAGGATTCTATATTGAACCCCCAGAAGGAACTACTATGGGGCCTATGGGTACCTACTACTCGTTGTTGGTATTCCGACGGTGGCAAAGAGAAAAAGGGGCTGGAGCACTGAGTTAAGGAGGACATGCAATTCCGGAGTTTTCTCCTGCGTTCAGGCGTTTGTGGGACATTGGCTGCTGCTTCGTGCAGGTATGGAGTGAATACATACGTATTAGTTCTCGGGAGAAGGTGTCTTAGGAGAGATCTACCAAACCCTAAACCCTAAACCCCAAACCCTAAACCCAAAGCCCTAAGCCCTAAGCCCAAAACCCTGGAATCCCAAACCCTGCGTCTTTGAAGCATTCAGTCCTTTCAAGGGATTGCAGGCTCTACTTGGAGGTTCATGGGTAGTTACAAGTAGGGTTATAAATCCCCTAATATGGGTTATATCTATAGTTACCGTACTTATAACCCCACTTGTAACTACCCATGAACCTCCAAGTACCCCTAAGTTTGCAGCACTCTCGGTTTTCCGGCACTCTGATTCAGAACCCGGAGCCCACTGGATCCACGGTGGGAGGGCGCGGAATCCGAAATCCATCACCCGAAACTCAAAACCCTAGACCCCTAAATCCTAGACCCTAAACTTAGTAAAGGGGCCTAAATAATTACCAAAACTATTTTGGTGGTTCCTTATCATAACTATACTATTCAGGGCCCAAAAACCCCGTTCTAATTATTCAGGCCCCTACATTAGGTAGGCTATTCTTAGACGCGAACTTAGCTAGTTAGTCCTCAACAGCATCCCTGGGCCCGTCACGGAATTTGATTGGGTTTTCTCTAAGCTACAAGGGGATCCCGGAGCCTTAAACCCCGCACCCAAACCCTGAAGTCCCCAAACCCCGAACACGGTTCAGGGTTTAGGGTTTAGGGGGCCCTAACCCTGAAAGGAACCCTAAATTCCCAAACCCTATAAACCCTGAATCCGGGTGCCCTCAAGCGCAGGGGTTCCAAAGCGGCAGCACCGATTTCATGGCGAAGCCCTTCGACCAAGATCTTCTTCGGAAGAAGGCGCAACAGGTTGTTCTAATTTATAGACTTCGTGGGGGTTTATAGGGTATTATACGGTTTGTCTATAGGGCCGAAGGGTTTCTCTAACGGTTCCGTTAAGGATTCAAACAAGGGCTCTAATCTGTTAGCATTTGTAGGCTTAGGTTCAGCGTAATCAGTGGCTAAGCACCAGGTTCTCTTGCCGGGAACTCCCTCGAAGCCTTCCCCGCCCCTCCATAACAGGTTGTGAAAGGGCTGCCCCCACCCAAAAAGATACAGAGGGCATTTTGGGCGGCTTCGCGGCTGGTCTGAGTTAGGGTTTGTCTTGATGCGTTTTCGGGACATCACCGCTCTTCCTTGAGAGTCCGGGGGGGGGGGGGGGGG